CAGTAAGCCGTATATATTTTCTATTGGTGCCATGACTTTTAAAAGGACTGAGATGCAATGCCTCAAGTCAGATAATGAAATACCTGGAGAGCATTGATGGTGATAATCATGAAAACCTGACTTTAGAGACTCTCAGAAGGTGACTGGAACAATGGGAATGGGTGAGAGGGCTGGCCAAGGTCAGAGATACAATTGATGACCTTGGAGGAAGAAACCTGCTGGTACAGCAAGGGACCCAACCCTTGAACTCATTATCAGGGGGCCCTCTCAGCCCTGAACTCGTGGCCACAAATGTGAACTCAACACTTGTCGAGCAAAATCAAGTCACCTCATTCAAGATTCAAGGCAGCTTGGCCCTTTGAACTTTGTTCTTACTTCAGCCATTTAATTATTTTGTGGGTTCTTATAATTTGCTGAGAAGAAAATATTGGTCTCAGAAGTATAGTATCCAACACTTTTTCAGGTTACAATATTTTTATGTACTGCAAGAAACTAATAATGCTTTAGAGAAACTACATAAAGGCCAGGTCAGCATTTTTTATATAAATTATTTTCCAAGGTGTATGCATTGTGAAGAAATTTGCTGGAAGGTGAAACTTGGCACATGCCTGAGACCCTGAATGTCCACATCTCATTTCATAGGTATTTATAAATGAGCCCTCACATTCTCTACATTTGGCATCCGGAATTCTTAGAAATGAAAAATGGACTTAATAGGTGTTTTCTGGGCTTAATGTCAGTGCGCACAATTCTCAGACTATTGGAGAACTGAAGGATTCTAAGTCCTATTGTATAGATTCTGGTATGGTGATATCATGTGTTAATGGAAAAGGGAAATAGTATAAGGGGACAGGTGTCAGAAAATCCTGGTGTGCTCTGATAGGTACCAGGCTTGGGCTTTCTTTGCCACTTTTTCTATACCAAATTTCTCTTCTACTGTGTTTCCTGCAGTTGTCCCTGTTATATCTGGTGGATCTGAGATCTAGTGGTATGCAGATACACTCTTGCTGGGCTTGTTTCTCCCTCTCTCCCTCCCTCCATCCCTCTCTCCCTCCCTGCCTCCCTCTCACCCCCCCTCTTCCTCTCTCCTTTCCTCTCTCTCTCTCTCTCCCTCTTTCCCTCCCTACCTCCCTTTTTCCCTCCCTCTCTCTCTCCCTCACTCCCTCTCTCCCTCTCTCTTTCTCCCCCTCTCCCCCTCTCCCCACCTCCTGCTCAGCCACAGGAGGCCAGAGTACAAAGGGAGGAGGAGAGGAAGCAATAAAAAGCCATTCTGAGACAAAGGGTCAGAGCTAGATCAGCACCCAGTCTGGGGCTGTGGTCCTATTTTATGGGGTAGGGCCTCCATCTCCAGCACTGTGAAGGTCCATACTTGGTTGATTTGGCATCATAGGCTTGTAGCTAGGGGGATGGTCTTATGAACCAGTAGGAGAATTTGGATAGGCATGGCAACCTGTACTAGGAGTGACAGTGCTGCCTCCATGAAGATGGGTGTAAAAACCATGACCTTTCAGCTTTGAACCCCAAAGCTGCTTGAAAACTGATGCTTCTAGCCACACAGAAGCTGTACTTTCTACCCTTGGAAAGGGCTTGGATCTTTTAACCCTCTGTAGAGGTCCCTGTTGTCTCTCACCTCAGAGCCTTACTTTAGAGGACCAACAAATACATATGGGCTTCAGGGATGGAACCTCTCCTCAAATCACTAAAAGGGAAACCTAGATTCTATTTTGCCTTCTGAATCTCACTGGAAGAGTGGATTAAGTGGTCTCCAAGCCATAAAATATGTAGTGGAGAAAGATGCAACCATAAAGCTTTGTTCTTGGAAATAGTGTCTACACCAAACAGGGAACCACAATAAATTGTAGAGAAAACTGTGGCATGCAAGACTCAAGTCCAAGAGGGTGGAGGACAGGTATAAAGCAGAGGCAAGGACACATCAGTGTCCTTCATAGCAGAGAGCTGAGCAGGTGCAGGTCACACTGGCCGTAGGCTCCAGCCTCAGAATGCAGATCCAGCCTGGATTCCAGGCCAGCAGTAAAGCTAGACATGCCACATGCTGAGCCTAGGCGCAGGGGCTGCTCACAGCTGCCTCAGTTCCTGTGAGTGGAGGTCATCTCACTGCTTCTGGCCGAATCAGGACAGCTTGGTGGTTCAGGGCAGTTTTGATAACAAGACAAGGCTAGATTCAGGCCCCAGGTTGTAACTCCATGCAAAGCCCCATGTTCACGTCCCAGAAACACAAAAGGAAAGGAGAGGAGAGGAGAGGAGAGGAGAGGAGAGGAGAGGATAAAATCAAGTCCAGGCTACATTTGTAACATGTAGCCTTAAGCAAAATTCTTTACTTTTTTTAAATTTAGTACAGGGTCTGCAGGGTCTCACCATGCAGCTTGGACTCATAGTGATCCTGTTTTCAGCCTCCCCAGCTCTGAGATTACAGGCACGCACCACTCTAGCCAGCATGGCATGACGTTCCAGAGATCCAACCTAGGTCCTTGTACTTGCCAAGCAGGCACTTAGACCACCAATACACACTCTGTGCTTTAGGGAAAGTTGGTCCTGAAAATATTGGGAGTAAATTATTCAGCAGTCAATCTGGGATACATAGGGTTCAACCCATCTCACATCCTATTAGGCTTTCATTTCCACCCCCAAAGACTACGCCAGTTTTCACAGTCATCTACTTACTCCTATGCATCTGAAATATCCAGGCTTTAGGAATTACCTCAAATACAATACGTGGGCATGCTAAACCAGAGAAGTTGGGTATGTACGTTAAAATATGTAAAGGTAGAGAAGTCCAAAAGGGTCTCCACCACCCTACACTCTTCTGGCAATGCCTTCCCATATAAGCAGCTGTTCATTTGTTGAAAAAGGCATTTTAAACAGTGAAATCACTGCAACTTGAGAAAATCAGTGGAGAAAATAATGAATGACCTGCAAGGCTCATTGAAAGTAAAGCTAAACTGAATGGAGCTTCTGATTCTGAGAAAGAAAAGTTCTGAGCATCTTTCAGACCACATGTTTCCAAGTCAAGGAGTCTATGATCCATGAGGAAACCCCGAGATCCAATGGCCTCAAAGACTTAGCAGCACCATGGAGGGTGCATGTCCCTTTTCAGTTCCACTTTCAAGATTGAAACTTCTCCTTCAGTGGGAATTTCATCTTCCTAGTACTTTCCAAAGCAAGCACCAGATGTCTTGAACCTAGAAAGATCTCCATCGTTTCAGCCTTGGTATGAGGAATTTCCCAGAATTCTACTACTTGCTTATACCTAAGAGGCTTCAGAGGGGAGGAGACAAGGGAAAATGAGCACATTCTGATGTTTGCTGAGCATCAAATGAGATTGTTTATGAAAGGATGAGGTATTCACCTATTAGATATCTATTGATGTGGAACAAATAGACTAGCACCTTGTGTATGCTGCCAGTTATTGCTTTGTTCCTTCAGCTGTCTCACAGTGTGCTAGGTGTTATTCCTAACTCTAGAGAATTGGTGCTGAACGTACACATATAGAAACTCTCTGAGGAACCTAAGATTCCCAGAGGTTAAGGCTCTTATATGAGGATTCACCCTCTCAGTTGTTGGCAAAGACCACATCAGGAGCTACTGTTCTATCAAACACCAAAGAAATGGTAGCTGTTGAGCTTTTGATATAAAGCTTACACTGTAATTATATTTCCCACCATACCTAACACAGTACTGAGTTAAATTTTAACCAGTACTAGACTTTTTAAGATGAAACTAAGGAAGTTTAATTCCACGATATTATTATATGAATAGAGACTTTCTGGTTGACAGTGACATGTTGGAAGCTGACTTGTTGGCACATCATCATTTCAGAAATTTAAAATATAATTATTTTCATAATTCTTAAGAGGAAACACAATTGACCATATTGTTTTGCCTTGTATTTAAATGTGTCTCCTCAATCTCAAAAGTGTGGTCATAAGTGAGGCTGGGTCTAGGGTGTGTGATGCTGGAATTGATGCATGCTAGGATCAAGGGCACTAGGATTGGGGTGAGTGCTACCCACCCTAAGGAGGCTGGACAAGAGGAAAGGAGCAGAAATACTCTGCTGAGGTCCCTTGTTGCTGTGTTCCTTGCTATCCACTATGAATGGTTTCTCCCCTGCAAGACCAGCCTACCTTGGAACCAGCTGATTATGAACTGATACCTCTACAAACTGTGAGCTAAATAAACCTTTCCTCCTTTAAGCATAGGCATCTCATATTTTGTCTCAGCAACAAGAAAAGTAACTCAAATAAGTATGTCACAAACATGGTAAAATCTGCATAATTTGTTCTCAAGAATAATAGGATCCCTGGAAGTACTGAGAACTCCAAAGGGTTCGGATGAGTTTTATTACTTCATAAAGCAAGAAAGACTGAATGCAGCTCCCATATCTTTTCAGTAATACTTCCAGCGGCAATGGGGTCAAACTCAGCTCATATGCTAAGTGATGTTAGGACCCTAGGCTGTGTGAATTATTTTTCTTCATGGTCAAATGGAGAGGCCAGAGATTGAATTAACTGTTGCATGTGTGTCCATTCATACAGGAGATACAAAATACTTTTGTTAGGACATCACTTTAGTTTGTTATATAGGCACATTATTCATTTAATTTCAGTTAAGCAGGTTTACCTAATGGAAGTCACATGATTCCCAGGTTGAAATAAGGGTAATCACAAGTAATTGTTGGTCTCCGATGACCGCTCCTTTTCTATTATAACTCTACTGAACCACTGCAGGGATATGCGCCACTGACTATTGCTGCCTGTGACAGGCTGGCCTTCTTTCTTCATTTTGGAAGGGGCTAGCTCCATGTTCCATTCAAGGTCTGTTTCATGCACATCACTGGATGTTCACACTATTTCCAATTGTTTACTTTTTTCCCCTTATTTTTCTTTATAGACTTCCCCTTTCCTCAGATCATGCCCAAATATCAGTGTTCTTTCAAACTTTGTGGTGAGCCTTCTCTAATCCCCTCTCTGTTTCTGTCTCAGAATCAAGCTGCCAGATGAGGACCTTGGACAGCGGCATCGGAACCTTCCCACTCCCAGACTCAGGAAATCGTGTGACAGGACGGTACATCTGCCAGCCAGACTGCTCCGAGGAGACTGAGCCCCTCCTGTCTCTCCAGCAAGTCCCTTGCGTAGCCTCCTCCACCAGAGCCCAAGCCCTAAACCAAGAAGTGCCTTCCTCCACGGAGAGCCAGCTCACTACTCAGGCAGCCATTGTTCACTCCACGTCTGAGCCCATCATGTTGGCCCGGGGAACGCGACCGCCTCAGAGCCGCCTTCCCAAGCCAGTCTCCTCAGGTAAAGTACCAGTGGCTTCTCAAATGGGATATCTTTTTTCTCCCAGCCCATCATGACAGAGATGGAAAATTTTCCACTTAGGAGAAATATGTCAGTGACTTCCGTCCTATGTAAATGAGGATTTTTGAACAGCCCTGCATGATGTCCACCAAAAACTAAAGCAGCATTTGTCAAAAAATATATGTGAAGCTTCATCAACTCCTACTGTTATTTAAGGAGTGCACACACATAAAAGGAAGCGAACATGTAGGCGTTGTTACATTGCTATATCCATTGACTATGGAAGAAAATAAGCGTACAGTTGTGGAATGTTAGTCTATAAAACTTAGAGTGTATATTTTACCAATCTATATCCAAGACATAATGTAATCAAACTGTTATGTGTCCTCTAACTAGAAGCCCTGCATCTTCTGACATATTCCTACCCTGTTTGCATGTGTTTAGAGGTTGAAGCATAGTGTTAGTCTGGTAAGTCAGCAGTAGATTGTGTGTTAGCCACAATGGGAAGAAACAGCAAGCCTTCGTATTGAGAAGCGCTATCCTTCATCACAGTCAATCAAAACAGGCTTCTGTGATTACAGACAACGTCAGGGCAAGGATCAAAGTTTTTCATGCTTCCCTCAAGATTAAAAATATTTATTGTAGTCTGGGTTGACGCCAAATACTTTTCAATATGTGTGGCCTCTATTACTCTGATGACATACATAAGTACATAAACTACAGCTCTGAATGCTTTCATTTACAATTAGATAATTAGAAATGAGCCACAAGTGGAGATTGTATTATACATTTCTGAGAAATTAGAAAAGACTTTTAATTAAGTATCTTTAAATAAATGCATTGGGATACTCCCATAGCTGAGCTCTACCTCCATTCTGTAATACCAACTGCCATGGATGTTTGACCGCTAACTCCTGCTCATTCCAAGCCCCAAGTCCATTTTTAAAGGCTGTTAATGCACATTATTTGAGAAAGAAGTGCATTGTTAATTAATGGCACAGCCCCCAGAGACTCAGGGGTGAAATCTTAGTTATAGATTATGTGCTGCATGCTTGAATAGTCACATGTGTGACCTCAATTCAACAGTGGGCTGCAGAGTCGACTCCATGATTAAACACTGTCATTATAACAAATTGAATAGAAACCACAAGCCTTGAATTGCCTCTGAAGAAGGGGATGGGATAGATTGTTCTGATGTTGCTGTAATATTCGCTGCACTAGATTTCTATGGTTTGTGTCTTAATTAAATTGTCATGAAGAGTTGTTTTTTTTTTTCAAAAAGACATATATGTTAAGGAGCCAGGTGAACATGGCAAGACATTTTGGGGGTCACTCACCCTTAAATGTCCAGCCACCACAAACTTGCAGTCCAGAGGCAGAAAAATTTATCCAAAGCTTCTCTTCTCAGTGACCACTTTTTATTCATATAAAAAAACCCCTAGAGGTTACAAAAGTAGCTGGAACAAAAGGAAAATGAAGGTAAGCCAGCTTTTAGCAGTCACTTCCTGTTTAACATATACATTGGAGTGGGTTTTTCTCTTATCCTATCTTAAAAATGGAAGTCATTGTATTGGTCTCTCAGGGCTGATAAAACACAGTCTGTTTGCTTCTCCTTAGGAGCAAAATGCTGTGGAGAGGCTGTCACAGCATGTCCTGTTGATAATTGCTCAAGCTGGAGAAAAATAATAGCGAATCTGCTCTCTGGCAGGATAAAGGAATACATTCTGCAGGTTAATGTCCTATTGTGGGTAATGGAGAACAGTTCCTTAATCACAGTCTGCTAACTCCACCCTTACTACTCCAAGTGTGGTCCATGGTCCAGCTTCATCAGCATCACTTGGGAGCATGTCAGAAATGTTGATGCTCAGAACCCACCCCACACCTCTGTATCAGAACTTGTAAGGTAGCAGAAGCACCAGGGGTGTGAATATGCATGTTGAACCCATTATAGCTTGAGAAGTGCTTCCCAGAAAGGTCTTTAAGGACCTCTGAGCAAAGCCTCCTACATGCATTATCAAAAAGGACCTTAGTAGGTATTGTAAGAAAATAAGCATTCCCTGCTCTTAGGCTTGTGAAGGCCTGAATATTTGAATCCTTCCTTTGGAAGCCATGGTGATACCTATGCACACAGTGAGGGTTCTGAGCTGTTCTCCAAAACCTGTTTGTTGTTTGATAAATAACAGCATATGAGGAAAAACCTCAGTATTTCACAAACTGTCTGCTTTCTGAATCTTTTCCAGGCTGAAAAGTCTTGACCTCTTGTGGGAAACACTTAGGATCATCAAAGAGGGCTTCCTTTATAAGGATGTGTAGAGGATTATGTAGGTATTTTAGGTAGCACAGACTGAAGGGGCCAGAATTGCAGGAAACCCAATCTTAACTATATTCACACCTTTTTATGATTTCTGAATATCTCCCTACCTTCCTCTCTAAAATTGTGAAAGGTTGGTAGTTGATTTATGATTTATCATACATTCCCTCTTTTAGGAAAAACCAGTTTCCAAAAGCAGAACGAAGCAGAGCTGAGGCCTCAGACGTGCTCATCATTTGAATATGCTGAAGGCAAACCGCTTCCAGCCTGGGGCAGTGAAGATCCTGCCACAGAGACCCAGGTAAGGGTGTGGCCAGTGGGGGCCACCCACCTGTTGGTCCTGACTAAACAGGGAACTTCTGAATCTTTTTAGTGACAGATTCAGATCAGATTTGCTGTCCCATTATTAAATACAAAGACCTAAGGCCCAACTTTTTCTCTGACTTGTTATTAAGGACACGGATTTCTTAGAATACTTTTTTCTGAGGAATTCAAAGTGTCAAATTCTGCTATTTATCCTGATTCTTAGGATGTGGATGCTTTGTCCTTGGCCAGCGCTGGGGGATCAGCACTTTCCCAAGTTAAAGGGCATCACTCAGAGTTTTTCCTGCCTTTATTTCTGAGTGGCTGTCTTCACCTTGCTTCCATGAGTTAGAGAAAGCAGGTATAATTCCATCCTTTCCTGGGCGAAGACCTTCAGAATGGTCATGTGACTCGCCAGGGTCAGCGGAGGTGAATTTCTTTGGTGCCCATCACCTTTCCTGTGGGATTTTCCTCGCACTGTCTGGTTGGTTCTGGGAGGAAGGAGCCCAGGACTCAGTGGGACTTTATTCATCCCTTAGGCATAAATTTCTGTTTGGGCCTGCTTTCCCCTTCCTCAGTGTTACTTTGACCATTTATAGCCTGATCCCTATTTCTTAGCTCCTCCTGGGGCTGCCATCCTTCAGGGCTTGGGGGTATTTGGTGGCACCAGGTTGTGAGAAGGCTAGAGAGGGGCACAGGGGCTAATTCCCAGAGTTTCTCAGCCCTTCCTTCCCCTGTCTCACTGCTGCTGCTCTTGGCTTTCCCAAATGTGGCATCAGAAGTGCTCTCAAAATTTGTACTACTATCTGCCCTCTTATGATAAGGAAAGGCCGAGATTTGCCCACATCTGTGGTAGATGAGAGTAGGCCCAGTGTAGCTGGGCATCGTCTATGTTCTGTGCCTCAGCGTGGAAATGAGAACATGGACAAGTGAGGGAAGAGTGGTCTGGGATCACAGTCTCAATGTACCACAGAGATACCAATACAGAGCATCTGGGCCAGGCTCGGGATCGTAGTGCAAGTGTGTGTGGAACAGGGGCTTGACCTGGGCCTCAGAGCTTGGTGCCTCACTCTTGGAATGGTTACCTCCACAGGACATGACTTGAGAAAGGAATGAAGGGTTGTATTCTGCCTGCCTTAAGTTAAATACAGAGTCATTATGGCTCCCCCAGATCAGTGTTCTCCAAGCCTGAGTTGAACAGAAGTGCTTGGGGAGAGCTAAATGTGGTGCTGCTCTCCTGGGTGTCCAGAGTCTGATGTGGTGAAATCTAAGCCTTTCTCATGCATTCCCAGGAGACACTTGTGCTGCTGGCCCAGAGAACAAACTGGAAGCATCCCACTGTCATATGGGACTCTGTTTTTGCTTTGGTGGCTGGACCAAACCAAATGACTAATTCCCAACTAAATGACTGGACAATGAAGAACACCTTAAGATACTCATTGTTCAGAGGGACCCAACAGTTTATGACAGTGGCAAAGGAGTTTGAGCAATTTCACAGTAAAAAGTAAAGTAACTGCTGGCCCAAAAGAGACCTGTCACCTGCACAGTGCCCCCCTGGCAATCCTGGCTTGAGTTAAGAAAGTCACTGTGACTTGAAACTTCAAACCTTGTCTCATTGCCAACCCAGTAAGGAAAGTTAGAAGCAAGAATTAACTTCTATGGGCCAAAGACCCATCTCAGTGCCTGGCTCAATCTGTTTGTTAAATGAGATGAAAGATGTCTCATCACACCCAGAAAGTTTTCCTTGAGGGTTTTATTATGCTTGTTGTTTGTTAGTTAGTTAGTTTGTTTTAGTATTAGACACCAGTTCCTTAGGAACCATCCTAGTAGTCTTATTTACCTATCTTCTCTTCGGGACATAACCCCTTCTGGGCAACTGGTGCCCAGTCTCAGATGAGCACTACTAGAACCTAGTACGCTCTTGGCATAGAATAGGTACTCAGTAAGCACTTCATGAGTACGTTGGTAGAGGAGAAATTAAATAAAGAAAATGAAGAGAAGGAATAATTGCTTGAATTTAGAACCCCAGCTGAGGGAGCTTATATCCTAAGATGTGGTTTGCTAATTCCCAACCAAATGACACCCTTCCAAACAAGCTTCTCCAACCTATCAAAAACTGTCCAGGTTAAGAGGAAAATAACAAGCTCCATAGGAGAGTAGCCCAAACATCAGCCCCTTCCCCTAACACAACCCATAGCAGGTGCAGTCGTAAATCCAGTATTCTACTTGCGTGCAGAGGAAAAAAATAGTTCCTACACTATTAACCAGCTCAGCAATTGCTGAACACAGTGCCTCTGCAGCCCAAGTCATGTCCAGGGCAGCCAGGCTGTGTGCGCCTGTGAGCCAGAGGGGAGACTGAGTTCCTCAACCCATGAACTGCCTAGCCATGGATTGGACAGATATGGCAAGCGAGTCAGCAGTTATTCACTGCTTTTCTAAAGGCTACTTTGCTTTGTAGGTAGAAGTTGTAAAGTAGGCAAACATTTCTTCTTTTGTTCCCAAGGTCCCTGTTTATAATGGTCTCACATACTTGAACACCAACGATGAGATCAGTTAACTAAACAAGCCATTAGGCTTGGAACAGCAGCTCGTAATAGGCACTTCAGAAAAATGAGGCCTGCGAAGCAGCGTGCAAAATGCAGAGTGGTTGATTTGGGGGGCTGCCTGAGCCCAGATGATGGCAGGGGGACTTCCACCACTTTATTATTACAGACCGTCTTCTGCTGCTGTCCTGGTACCTGAATAGGGCTGTGCCAGTGGCTCAAGGGGAGGCAGAGAAACCAGCAAACTGGAGGTGTTCTTGGGTGGAGGGGGTGGGGCAGAGGGGTGGAATGGCACCCACAGCCACCGTGCCTGCCGGGGCGAACTGTCTCGCGGCCTCAGCAGATACTCTGCCGCGTTGGTCCTCACTGTCTCATACTTCTTATTTTAGGACCAGACATTAAAAACATGTCCACACTTTGCCAGGGGATAGCAGTGCCAGTGACAGCAAACCGGACTGCGAAAATAAAAATCTTGGGGCTGGAAGGGGGAAGTTAGCGAAAACCGTCAGGAGCCCCACCCAGGCAATGCCCTGGAGTGCCAGGCCTGTGCCAGTTCCTCTCACTCGCAAGCCGCTGAGTCTGCCTTTCAGTGCGCCCGCCCCCACCCACCTTTCTTTTACATTCTAACTCTATGTTTTTCCTGAGATCTAATTTTCTGGTGCGTACAGAAGATGGTCTACGTGCATCAGTTTGTTTTCTGGTGTCATCATGACACTGCAGTGCGATCTGTAAGGATTTTACTCCCAGCTCTGGCATCTCTACAACAGCTTCCAATTGCCTTATCTCAATAATGAAGGAATGACTATAAAGATAACTTTGCTCTTAATCACATACTTTGGCAAGTTAGATCTTCCAGCGAGCCTTGGATCGAGTTTTCCGGCTCTTCGCTCAGCTCACGCTGTGTGACGCTGACCCGTTAGCCTCTATGAGCAAGTCTGGGGGTACTTTTGAAGCTCACTCACTGTCTTTTCCTTTTGATCAAAACTGGCAGTAGAAAAAGTAACATCCCTTGGCATTTAAATAAATAAATATTATACATACATATGGACATGTATATATATATAAAATATATTCAGATTCAGATAGCACTTCCTCACAGATATGAGGACAGATGAACTCCTAACACAATTTAATCTGTGGTCTGCTTTTCTTCTCATCATTCTGGATTTTTAGAAGTATTTTAATGATACAATGAAGCATAATTCTCCTATTAGTCAAATTTTTCACATATACTAATTTAGAAATTATATGACAGAACCGTGATTTCTTTTTAAAACAAAGCTGTTCTACTGCTCAGGGAAACATGTAATCTAGCAACACTTTGTGTTTCTAATTCTCACTTTACCTCATCCTTTGGAGTGCAGGGCTGGACGCAGGTAGAACTGACCTCTCAGGACAGCCCATTACTTTGAGCCTTGCTGCTTACAGCTCACCAGAGGAGCAAGGGTTGAATCTCACAGAGGCTTACTGTCATCACCTGTTTCTGTTCCTACAGTGAAGTGCCCAAGACTGAGTACTGTAAAGGAGTTCACGTAACTCTTAGTTTTGAAGGCCCAGGGCATGGCCCCAGCATCCTCTTAGTTTCTGCTTAAGAGAAGGAGGCATGTGCCGAAGAGGGGGGAGAAGGAGCTGTCCGGCTTTGCAGCAATCTGCTCTTGTGAGAACTAACCCATTCCCTTAAGAAGTGTGTCAATCCATTCGTGAGGGCAGATCTCTCCTACTCTCAAATGCCCCTTAACGGCTTTGCAACCTCTCAACACCATTTCATTGGGGCCACAGCTGAACATGACCTTTGTTGGAGACAGATCATATTCAATCCACAGCATTTACTGAAAAGAAATAGTGAATCACCTTGATATTTTAGTTAGCCCTCCCTGGTGGCTCTCTGTCATTCATCAGTGTCCCTTGCAGTTGGGACTGATGAATGGACAGAGTGATGCATTGCCAAGTAAAGGCACCTAGGAGCAAACTAGCTGTAGTCCGAGTTATTTCCTTGAGCTCACTGGGGGCCCACCATGAATTACCTGACCAACCCTCACCTGCCCAGCTACAGAACAGTTTTCTGGGCCTCTTCCAGCTCTAAAAGTCAGCCTCTTCATCACTGAGCAATTGAGCATTATGCTTTCCAGAGGTCAATATGTGGACAGAGATCACTACCAGAAGGTAGACGAGAGAGATAATTAACTACTGTAGTAAATGGGTGCCATTTGGTCAGAGAAGGAAAGTGCTATAAAAAGACAGGCATAACAGAGTGAGGGCGAAAGGAAGGGCTGGATAAGGGAGATGTTGCCATTCAGATGGAAGAGTTAGAACAAGATTCACTTTGAGCAGAGCTGAAGGAGGCATGGGAAGAGCGAGCAGCACATCCAGGGAAGAGCATTTCAGCACAGAGGTGGCATGCCTGAGACATTTTCAAAGGCTCTCTGTGCCTTCTCAGGTAGACTGAAGAAGCAGC